CCCCCCCCCCCCCCCCCGCCCCTCTCCTGCGCACGCACGCACAAGCCACCACGCCCACATTCAATAGACCCAACTTTGCGCCCCATCTGCCAACGATGTTTTCCCTGTGCCTGCGACTCTTGAGCCACCGGCCATGGCGGTGCGTGGGCCCCCCACGCCCGCGGGCATCCTCCACCGTTTTCCGCCTGCCCTCCCCCCATCGCCTCGCGTGCCGTTCTCCCCTGCCCGTCCCCCGCCCTCCAATTCGTGCCCCCTGCTCCCGCCCCGCCCCGCCTCGCCTCCCCCCCTGTGTCTCTCCCGTCTTGGCCCCCCGGCCTCCGCATCCGGCCCAAACGCCCCGAGACCCACGGCGGAGCCACTGAATGGACTCCTTTAAGCCCAACTCCGATCACTTGCCCCTCGGCCAGGCTCCGGCCCTGCCGACGGCCGAGTACGCCCGGCGAGGGAGACAGCTGGTCGAGCGTCTGCGCGATATCGCCGAGGACTTCTTCGACCCCGATGGCCCGGAGTGCGCCGACTCCGGGGTACGCATGCCCCACCCCCGCCCTCCCTTCCCCTTTTTCTGTCCAGCACCTGGGCCTCCGCGCCTGGCCTGTCGCCGCCCCCACCGGCCGGCCACTGACCTCCCGGGCTTGCCCCGCGTTGCCTCCCTCCTCCGAATGTCTCGGCTCACGGCCCGCACCCGCCACCTGCCACATGCTTCAGCTGCCGCAGCTCCTCGGCCGCGCAGAGACTCCGGCCGTGCTGGCTTCCGTTCGGACCCTGAGCCGCGAGGTGCAGCTCCATGTGGCAACGCTGCGGCGCCGGTCGAACGAGCTCACCAAACGCGCGTCCAAGTCCCGGCAGCGCCTGCTCGAGCTCCGGTCCGAGCGCTCGCACTTGGTGACCGCTGTGATGAATCTGCGCAAGAAGACGTGCGCCATGCTGCCTGCACGCGCCCATTGCCCTCCCCGCGTTCCCTGTGTTTGTGTTTGTGTGTGTGTGTGTTGCCCGCCTCGCTGACTGTGTTTGCCTGCCAGCTACAAGTACCACGATTTGAAGCTCGACCGGCCACTGCCCGGCCCGCCGGACACCTCGGACTTGGCCCCTGTGGCTGAGGAGCAGGATCCGATTCTCAATGACCACCTCCACCGCGAGAACATCGGCCTCCTGACGCGTGAGCTGGACCAACTGAAAGAGTGCGCCAATGCCCGGCCTCTCGGCGCGTGCCACGCACCGCTCCCCGGCCCGACCCCCCCCCCCTCCTCCCCATGCCTGCCCCCACACGCGCATATCTATCTATCTATATATAGATATGCACACTAACACCTGCGCATGTGCATGCCCATGGCCGACAGAATGAGCGTCTCCCTGGAGCGCATCCGCCAGGAGCGCCGGAACTTGGTGGCCGCCGGGAGCGAGCACCAGCGCACACTGAAGGACTTGCTGACGTCGGCCGAGACTCTGGTTTACCAATTCCAGTCCATCAGCAACACCTTCAGCCTGGATCAGACGACGCTGGAGGAGCGGCTGGACGCCCTGACGCCGGAGCTGCGCGGGGCGTACGACATCTTCAGCGAGCTGGCGCGCGAGAAGAATGCCTACTATGCCGGGCTCAGACGCCCGGGCCAGTCGGCCAGCGATTTGACCGCCGACCTGTCCTACATGATGCGGCCGCTGGTGTCCATCAATGTCGTGGGCGATGTCATCGAGGAGAATGTTGCCCGGTCGGAGCGCCAGCGCGCCTCGGAGGCCCTCGGCTCGTCCATGTTCCTGGGGGCCCTGGCGGGCGGGCGAAAGGCGCGCCGGACGGCCCCGGCCCCGGCCACGGCCACGGCCGATGCCGATGCCGAAGTCGATGCCGAGGTCGATGCCGATGCCGATGCCGACACCGAGCCCGAGCCCGAGCCCGCCGATGCGGCCCCCTGTGCCCTGGATCGCATTGCCTCGCCCATGTATTTGGATTTGCATCTGGTGTACCCGGCGACCGGGACCCCGGCGGCCACCTTCCACTTCAAGATCCTCTCCCTGGCTGTGGATTTGGAGGCAGTGCTGGAGGCCTTGGAGTCCGGGGACCCGGACTCGCCGCAAGTCCGGGCACTGGTGGACAGTCTGGCTGCCAGCGGGCTGACCGATGCGTCGGCCGCGCCCGGTGCCCTGGCCGAGCGCCTGGCCCAGCCGCTGCTGGTCGTGGCGGAGAGCAGCTCTCTCGGGTTCATGCTGCCGGTGCTGGACCAGCTGCTGGAGCGAGCTCCCGAGGAGCACCGTCGCGGGGCGCCGGACCTTTTCGATGAGGCCGGCCGCGAGGTGGGCAACTTTACCGGGCCCCCGGGGGCCGGGGCCGCCGGTCTCGGCTCGGGCGGTGGCAGTGGCCGGGCCCGGACGTATGGCTGGCTGCAGCGCATCGGCCGAAGCGCTGGCCAGTCGGCGGATGTCATCTTCGATGGGGTTGACTCTCGCCGGACCCTGGCCCGGCGGGTGTTGGACCGGCTCCTGGAACGGACCAATCTCCTGGTGGGCTTTGCTCTGACGTCGGGGCTGGTCAAGCGCAAGCCGCAGCTGCAGCTGCCCCGACTCGAGGCAACGCTGGACCTGGGACAGGCGCGTGCGGAGATCGCCGCCATCGAGAAGCTCATGGCCACAGTACGCCAGTGCGATTCCCATGTGGAGGCCTGCCATTATGATGAGGTACATGCGGAGGTGGCCTGCTCCCTTTTGTGTCTCGCCCTTTGGCCTTTGGCCTTTCACTCTCCGCCAGACGCACACTGCGGCGGGGCTTCTGCTAACCGTGAGGCATGCGCATGCGCATGCACATGCACACATACATATGCACATATGCATACATGTGTATATTTACACGCATGAAGATGGACATGACCTCGATGAATCGAATTGTGAGCTTTGACATTCGCCGGAGTAGCTGTGCGTTGCCTCCTCCCTTCGCTCCGCAGCATCGCCATGTGCTTTTTTTTCCGGTGACCATTGCCCTGCAATCATGTTGCATCTGACAGTATGGTCACTGCTCGCTGTGTGGGTGCTTTTCCGGGTGGGTCGGTGGGTTGGGGGCGAAAAAGACACCATGCGCTTGGTGTTCCGCGTGCCACTCGCGCCGCCGATCGAGGCCACCACCCCCTCAGTCAACTGGGTTGTGGCTCCTTTCCACTTTGGTGCGTACATCCGTCCCCGGCAGGGGGGGGGGGGGGGGGGGGAGGGCCGGGGGCGAGGCCCGGCTTCCTTTGCCATTCGTCGCACATCTGCGCCTGTGTGTCGCCCTTTTCCCTCGTCCCTCCTCTCGTGCATCCCTCGCCTGCTGTCTGTGTGCCTTTTGCCATACGGGAGGTGGGCCAATGAAAGGGCGCGACTAACCCTCCTCTCGGGAAACAAACGCCACACACACACACACACACGCGCGCGCGCACATGCACACGCACACGCACATGCAGAGGGCGAAGAGGAGGGCGGCGTGGTTGACGACCAGTCGGACCCCCTGGCGGCGAGCGCCCTCGAGGAGCAGCGCCAGGCCACCTCGCTGGCGATCCAGCAGCGGATCTTGCACTTCCGCGCCCAGGTGCCGGGGTTCCTTGCCAGCGACATTGTGCCCTTCCCCTTCATCACGCTGGATGCCTGGGTGGCCAGCCTGTGCTTGAACCTGGTGGTCGAGCACATCGCCGACATCCAGGCGGTCGTGGGCCAGGCCGTGCGCCATGGCATTCGGCCCTGCCTGCGGGCCGAGCAGTTGAAGTTCGATCCGCTGAACAATCACCTGTACGTGGTTCCGCATCCGGTGCCGGAGGAGGAGCGCCATCAGCAGCCGGCCGGCTCCTCGGAGGAGTCCGAAGAGGAGGGCGCCCTGTCCAGCGACGGCGACCTGGACATGGCCTCCGATGAGGGGGAGATCGATGTGTACATGAGCGACGGCGAGGTGCCCAGTGATGACCGGCGGTCGCCGACCGCGAGCAGCCACTCAAGCAGCGGCAGCAGCGGCGACGGCGGCGGCGGCGGCGGCGGCGGCGGCGGCACTCGCCGCCCCCGCCACACTCCGGACGGTGACCGGTCCTGGTCGCCGGGTCTGCCCCGGCGGGAGCAGCGGCAGCAGCACCGGCCCCAGCATGGCAGCGGCGCCAGCGACGGTGGGGATGGTGGCGACAGCAGCGCCCTGACCGGGGACGAGCTTTCCCTGTCCTCCCTCGATGGGGATGCTCCGCTGGAGGAACTCTACATCTCGGACCACCTGTCGAGTCCGCCGTCGTTCCACTCGGCCGCGTCCGGCAGCGAGCACTCGCGACACGCCTCGGACGGGGAGATCGACGACTAGCTCCACGGAGGGGATCTGGTGCCCTGTGTGTTGTCCGGGGGCGGGGAGTCGCGGCCGGAGCTCGGCCATGCTTTTGGTTGAGTGTGGACTGGGAATCCGCCCCCCCC